AGCTACTTTCACCCCCCAGAGAGGCCCTCAAAGGGGGTCCGGGGTCGTAACTCACAGAGTCAAAGGGCCTCGGGTGCCTGAATAGCGGCTGTCACGGGAGCACTCAGAATCCTTCCTGCGTGAGGTCAGATGGGGACACAGAGGCACAGGGAGGGGAAATGACAGACTCAGTGCCACAGCCATGAAGGGCCTGGTTCTCAGACCCGTCTGCTCTAACCACTAGAGGCCACTCCCCACTCAGCGCGCCTCACCCAGTGGCCCCTCTGTGTGTGGCCTGCAAGATATTTTGTTCACCGTTGCCCATGCGGGAGGTCTCCAGATCCCGCTGGTTTCCAGCCACGAGGTTTGTTTGGCAGTGGTGCTACTCATAAGAATGGCCAGCCTGGGTCAGACCAAAGGTCCATCCAGCCCAGTGTCCTGTCTGCCAATAGTGGCGGATGCCAGGTGCCCCCAAAGGGAGGGAACAGAACAGGGAATCCTCATGTCACTCATTTCCAGACAAACAGAGGCTAGAGACACCATCCCTAATAGCCATGGATGGACCTAACCTCCATGAAGCTATCCAGCTCTTTTTTGAACCCTGTTAAAGTCCTAGCCTTCACCACATCCTCTGGCGAGGAGTTCCACGGGTGACACACATGGAATGCTGGGGCCTGTGAAGTGAGGTGCTTGCTGATTGCACACAGCAGTGATTGTGAGAGCTGTGTGTTCCCGCTGCAGCCAATCACAGCGCTGCCGCGGTTCCGTCGGCGCCCCCCGCAAATTCTAGGGACGCCGGCGCCGTCCATAAAACTAGCCTATCCTGGGAGGCCGCCTGGGTTACGCCAGTCTTGCAGCCGCCCTAACCGGGCTGAGAGCTGCAAAGCCTCCACAGTAAGTGATCGCAGGAGAGAGGAAAAACTGAGGCAAGGCCCAGACCCGAAGGGATTCAGGGCCTTACACTGGTTGCTTTCTGCAGGAGGATTCAGGACACCAACGTCCCCTGGCAGAACTAGGACTGGGCGCTAGGGCTCTTGACACAGCCCGTCTCCGGAGCAGGGGGAAGGGCGCTTCCCACGCAGGCAGGCAGACACGAGCTCGCACACCTGGAGTTGCAGCGGGACCGGCACAGCTCGGACTGTGGCGTGGGAGAGACTGCCCGGGGACCCCGCTCAAGCAGCTCCCACGGCTGTGGCCACGCTGCCATTTTCAGTGCTCCGAACAGCTGGAGTGTGGGTACACCCCGAGTGTAGTTGCCTGAGCAGGAGGTCCCCGGGGCATTTGCACCAGGCCCAGGCAAGGGGTTGTCAGTGTCCCTCCCGGGAGGGGCAGGCCCTCAGATTAGCGATGCCTGGTGCTTCGCAGCAGAGATTCAGCCGAGAGAGGACCCCGCGCTGTGTCCCCTGAAGTGGAAGCCAGACAAATTCAGGCTGAAAAGAAGGCGCAATTACCTATGGGAGCAACTCACCCGGGGTCACGTGGGAGTCTCCATCCCAGACAATTTTTAAAACTCAAGACGGGATGTTTTCCTAAAAGATCAGCTCCCGCAAGGATTTGGAGCCAGTGCTCTGGCCTGTGCTAGGCTGGGGGGTTGAGAATACACCACCGAGGTCCCTTCTGGCTTTGGAGGCTATACGTTTTGGTCAGAGGGTTGCCAGGTGTCCACTTTTCACCCAGACAGTTCAGTATTTTGGCCTTTTGTCCGGTAAAAAAAACCAAAGAAAATGTCCGGTATTTTGTTTTCCTCGGAAGGATGGCTAGCGGTGTCTGCGAGGGCGGGGGGGAGCAAGGAGTACGGAGCGCAGTAATTTAAAGGCGCAGTGACTATTTTTTTTTTTGCTCAACCAATTTTTCCCTGCCTGTTTGGGATTTTTTGTGACGGTATCTGGCAACTTTATTTGATTACTGGCCTCCATAGCTTCAGCGAAGGGCTCTGAGCAAACATTGCAGGGTGGGTGTGGCCTCGCAAAACCCGCCACTCATCTGGAGTCTCTCTCCCCCACCTGCGCCATTAAAGCAACTCCAGAATTATACACATTCTCTGGCAAGTGGGTTTTTTTTTTTATATCTAAAATAAATTAATATATGAATGACTACAACAGATGGTTATTAATGGCTGTTTTTTTCCCCCGCTAAAGCAAAAGGAGGTATTATTATGCTAATCCTGTAAGTAATTACAGATACCAGTGTATGATTTGTCAGGGTGATTAGTATTTTAGTTAATTAGTGCTGTAATTACAGAGACTAATTAACTTTCTCTCAGCCTTCCTGGAATGGAAACTTATTTACTTTCTTTTTGCTGGGAAGACGCGCCTGCTGAAAGGCATGGAAAAGTCTCCCCAACCCAACTCAGCCCTCCGTCAGCTGGTCTTTCTCGGGGGCACCCTCCCGGAGCTAGTCATGCGCCAAGCAGAGCTGGCTTGGAAGGAGGAGGAAGAATGACTAGTGGTTATTCCCTATACCCAGGGTGGCCAACCCGCGGCTGTCCACTCCTGAAAGTGAAGCTCGCAACACCTAGAAACGGCCAACAGCCTCTGGCTCCCTGTGCTCACCAGGTGCAGGGGAGTCATCGGGCACGGCAAGATGGTATTGGTTGGCAGGATCCTGCTGTGGCCAAAAAAAGCCTAACCCATGATTTTTAAAGGGACAGCGGTTTTTTTTTTTTTTGCTCAACAATTCTGGTGTTGCTCTTTGCATTTTTCCGTTGCTGTTTTGGCTCTCTTCGTTTGATGGGTTGGCCACCCCTGCCCTATACTGTTACATGGGATAGGACTGTGATTGCCAGAGACGGCTTGGGGGCATCTGGACTCCTGGGTTTTTATGGCTAACCCTGGGAGGACGGTGCAAGTCAGTGATTAGCATCTGGGCCTAGACATTCTCTTCCCGGGTCTAGGAGGAAGTGGCCCCGTGGCTACAGACGGGGACCAGGACTCCTGGGTTCTCCTCGCAGCTTAGAAAGCGAAACCTAATACTTAGAATAACGTGTCCAGTTTCAGCTTCTGTGAGACCAGAGCCTTGTGATGGCTGCCACGGCGCGCAGCTGGCTTCCTTATCGTTAAGCGCTCTGGGATCCTGGGATCCCTGCTGATACAGCCAGGGCGGAGGCTGGGCATGTGGCACTCCTGGGCTAGCACAATCTAGGTCAAACACTGGCCAGCACCCACCCTGCCTCTCACCGTGCAGCAGTGGGTGTTACACCAGGGGGGAAGTTGGCCCTGGGCTTTCCCCCTTCCCCCCCCACCCCCACGCGGCGCTCTGGCAGAGCTCTTCACAGGGGATGGTGCATTTGAATCGGCTCCAACTCTGCCCATCCAGAAACAATGAAAGCCCAAAGCTGGCGGTTTTCTAAAAGCGAGCGCGTGCGATTTCCAATCTGTCCTTGTTTGTTCTTGGACAATAAGGCGATAGCCCATGAGGGGCTGTTTAGCAGAGAGCAGCCTGCAGGTGGCTGGCTGTGTCAGCTTGAAACCAAGTTTTCCTTCTTCGGTTCTTTTGTGAGGGGCTCCAGGGGCGCCTCCCGGCAGGCTTAGCAGTCCACCAAGGAGGCCCTGTCTTGGGTGGCTCGGGGGCAGGAATACTCCACTGGGCCACAAGGGATCTGGATAAAATTCTCCGCTCCATCGCACCCCGCCTGTGACTTTGGGCAGTTACCTAAGTCCACCGTTTAGATGCCCACTGACCTTTTCAAAGGTGGCGCCTAAACCCATGGGTTCCTAAATCTCCTGGGTATGTCTATGCAGAGACACTCTGGGCTCAGCTACAGTAGAGGGTTAGATCAACTCAGCGACGTGAAATATTCGCACCCCTGAGAGACACAGTTCAGTTGATCTAAATTCCCATGCAGGGAGTGCTGGGTACAATTTTTCCAGCTACTAGCTCTCAGCAAGGTGGGTTTGTTACAGGTGTACTGCTGTGCAGTTTCTAATGTAGACAAAGTTTCAGGAAATGTAGTCCCCTCCTCCCCTACTCTAACCACTAGTCCCCACTTCCCTTCCAGAGCCAAACCTGAATTCAAACCCAGGCCTCATGACTCTAGAGTTCCCTGCTCTAAGCACTAGCCCATACTGCCTCCCGCTGCTACCGAAACCTCATCATGGGAGGGAACAGCCTGATCTCTGATTTCCTTTTGCCAAACCTTTGTAGCAAACCCGAGTGTAAGAGCATGGCCCTGGACGTCTTCCAGCTGCCTGGGATGCCAGCCCGACAGACCGATGCCTCCGACATGTCCGACTTGGAACCAGACTTCAAAGGTAAAAGCCTGTGCCCAGCACCAGGGCACGTTCTGGTACAGTCTGCCTTAGTTCAGGCCCTGCAGGTTAGCAGCAGTATTCCCTGTGAGTTAGTGCTTGGGCAGTCATCCAAGAGATTCAAATGCTGCCCAGCTGATTAGCAAAGTGCCCACAGCTGGCAGCATGTGTGCCTATGGGTGGTGCACATCTGCACATGGAGACACAACAAAATTTATTCTGCACAAGGATGGGGGAGCATAGTGAGAATACTGATATCAGCACCCTGATTGGTGGCTGCTGCCGGAGCCAATGCTCCAGTCTACCAGACCTCCAGCTCGTTGTTGTACTGCGATGGGTCGTTTAGCTTTGGCTTAGCGAATGGACCCACCATGCAGGGATTAACTGAAGAAATGGACATGAGTCAGTGGGGGTGCTCGTTCTCCTGAGTTATTCCTAGCCCCACTGTGGTTCTGGGAGGCTGAAGGGCGCTGGAGGAGGATGGGATGGGATGGGATATGGGACGCTCTCACTTCAAAGTCATTCCTGACTCCAGAGGGCATCCTGCAACGGGTCTGGGTGGGGGAAATTTGGGCTTGTAGATAAGGGGTAAAAATGAAACCCTGACATGCTCATGGCTACTTTTCATCCGCAGCCTGAGGGCATCTCCTCCACTGGCGCAAATCAGTGGAGCGCTGACTGTAGCACAGCTCCGGTGATTCACACCAGCGATGGGGTCTGGCTGTGCATCCTTAATACCCACACACACTAGCTATGGGATCTGGCTGTGCATCCTTAATACCCACACACACTAGCTATGGGATCTGGCTGTGCATCCTTAATACCCACACACACTAGCTATGGGATCTGGCTGTGCATCCTTAATACCCACACACACTAGCTATGGGATCTGGCTGTGCATCCTTAATACCCACACACACTAGCTATGGGATCTGGCTGTGCATCCTTAATACCCACACACACTAGCTATGGGATCTGGCTGTGCATCCTTAATACACACACATACACACACGAGCTATGGGATCTGACTGTGCATCCTTAACACACACACACACACTAGCTATGAGATCTGACGGCACATACTTAACACCCCCCCACACCCACACCTCCTTCCTTTAAGGATCCTTCTGTAATTGCCGGGTTCATCTTCCCTTCCTTGCCCTTCTGTGGCTTTTCACTGGCTGCTGCAACCCCCCGCTGCCCTGGCAGACAATGTATTTCACCCACGGAGGAGTCTGTCGTACCCATTGCGGGGGCAAGTCTGAGGAGGCTTTGTGACTGAAAGCTTGTACGGTGCTTTAAGATCCTCAGGGGAAGGCTGCTGCAGCGGGGCCAAGCAACATTCATTTCACACCAGACAAGCCTCATCTTAATTAACCTCTCTTGGCCTGCGATAAGTTACACGGCAGTGTCATGCTCTGAGATAACACAGTGTGACAGGCCAAGGGAGGAGCCTTTGCGGGAGGGTCAGAGCGTGTGTGTCAGGGGAGGTGGATTCCTGCAATAATAGAAACTTTGGATCAGTTCCCGGGGGGTCGCAAACACTCCATGTTGGCATCCTTTTGCCAGGCTCCTGGTGACAGCCTCCCGCGCAGAACACCGGCGCACACGTCCCCCCTCTCCCCTGCTTTTCATGTGAGGATCTCAAAGCACTTTTCAGACATTAATTCATGCAACTTCCCGGGACATAAGGAATGATTGTCCTCACAGCAGAGCACTCAGGAGTCCTGGCTCCCACGTTCCCAATCTAACCCCCACCTCCCAGCCCCCCGCTCCTAGCTCTCAAATCTTACAGCGTCTCGGAAGGGCTCTCTGGAACCCCAAGGCTCACAGGGCTAAAGCTGGGGGGCGTGGGACATCTGAATGACATGCACCCTCCTCTGTGCACCGCACTGGAAGGCAGGTCAGTGTATCAGCATCCCTAGGCACATGCCAATGTATGGTCCGCCAGGGTACGTCTATACTGCAGCGCTATGTTGGGGTACCGGAAGCATCCCAAAGTAGCTGTTCCATGTCTATTGAAGCAGCCTGTTATTTCGAAATAGATTTCGAAATAACGGGCAGCTTGTTCCGACGTCCCGGTAACCCATGTTCCACGAGGGCGAAGGGGCATTTCGGAATAGTGAGTTATTTCGGAATTAACTCGAAATAAGCTTATGTCGTGGCAAGGGTGCTGTGTAGATCTACAGAGAGATGTAGATTAGGCACCTCGAAATTGCTAATGAAGCTGGGATTTAAATACCCCGCGCCTCATTAGCATCAACAAGGCTGCTGCTTTTTTTTCGAAACTGAGTTTTTTTAGAAAAAAAAACGGCAGTCTAGATGCGGATGTCAAAAATAAAGCCTTTTGTGACAGATCCTGTAAACCTCATTTTTTGAGGAATACAAGATCTGTCGAAAAAGGCTTTATTTTCGACAGCTCTGCATCTCGACAGCCGGGTTTTTTTAAAAAAAACTCCGTTTCGGAAAAAAGCGGTGGCTGAGTTTATGCTAATGAGGCGTGGGATATTTAAATCCCGGTTTCATTAGCATGGCCGAGTTTATGCTAATGAGGCGTGGGATATTTAAATCCCGGTTTCATTAGCAATTTCAACGTGCCTAATCTACATCTCTCTGTTGACAGAGAGGTGTAGTCTAGACACAGTCCCAGAGTCCTGCTCGGTCAGCACCACTCTCCCAGCATCCACCAATGACTCGTGTTTGGCTGGCTTGCTTGCTCATCTTTCACTCTCACCAGTTGCTGATATTAGGTGCATTACGGTAGGGCCTCGACGCCCCACCCAGAAACCAGGACCCCACTGAGCTAGGTGCTTGTGAGCAGGTGTATTACGGTAGCTCCAGTCACATGCCAAGGCCCCACTATCTGAGGCGTTGTACAAACAGCCCCAGGGAGCTGAAAATCCCATTAAACACCAGGAGTCAGCCCCTGGAGACAGAGGAATGGGGGAGTACGGGGAACCGGTTGAGACAGCGTCGGCCATCACATACCATTGCTTCCTATTAGCTGACACTAGCCACACGCCAACAAAAACATCTCTCCAGTCCAGATACCGTCTCCCTCCCTGCCCACGTGTTGCTGTAGTTCCGTGGACAGGGAACCCCATGCATCTTATTTCAGAGAGCGGCCCGAAAGCCTGGTTGGCGGTGTCTACACTGGCCACTTATTCCGGAAAATCAGCCGCTTTTCCGGAATAACTTGCCAGCTGTCTACACTGGCCCCTTGAATTTCCGGAAAAGCACTGACGATCTAATGTAAAATCATCAGTGCTTTTCTGGAAGAACTATGCTGCTCCCGTTCGGGCAAAAGTCCTTTTCCGGAAAACTGTTCTGGAAAAGGGCCAGTGTAGACAGCAGAGATTTCTTTTCCGCAAAAAAGCCCCGATCGTGAAAATGACGATCGGGGCTTTTTTGCGGAAAAGCGTCCGTGCCAATCTAGACACGCTTTTCCGAAAATGCTTTTAACGGAAAACTTTTCCGTTATAAGCATTTCAGGAAAATCATGCCAGTGTAGACGTAGCCGTTCTGTGTGAGAAACGCAGCACAGCCAGAGCCACTGCGGCTGAGCGGAGGGTAAGCCCAGGCATGGCTGGGCCAGAAGGCGGTACTACAATTGGTCCAAAGTGTCCCATTAAAACAGTGTTCAGATACAAAGTTGGGGTTTTATGGAAACCCAATTTTTCAGATTGTCTGTGTCCTGTGGTAACCTTAAACTGGTGCATTAAAAAATAGCTCGTCCAAAACTACAACTATTCTGATACTGCAGAACCTCGTGGAGACTGTAGTTTGGTTGTCTCATGTCCCCTTTCTCCTGTATGAGCTGGACTCTATGGCTAGACTGTATCTTCCATGATGCACCAAAGCTAAGGACGTCTAGGGTGCATAACCTCCCTTCTGCAATAGGCAAGACCCTGATGCATCATGGGAAATATAGTCCACCAGAGAGCCTGGCCCACAGGCAGTAGACACAGGAGTCATTCAAAGTACAACTCCCATGAGGCACAGTGGCAGCATTTCCAAATTGTTTTGGTTTTTTTGCTGATTTTTTTTTTTTTTATTCCAAGCGGATGGGAAAAAATAAAATTTGCTGTAAGAAACAGACAAAATAATTGACTGTGGTTTTTTCAGCTTGACAGGATTCAGATTTTATCATTAGAGCCCCGCATGGCTACAAAATGTGTACCCCCATCCATATCCACGCAAAAAAATGATCCACGGATCTCTACCTCCATATCCAAGGATGCAGACACCCTCAGATATACAGCAGATAGCTGCGGATTTGCGGGGCTCTATTTAGAATTTCAACACACACAAAAATGTTTGAAATGCTGAAAATATTCAATCAATTTAAATTTTCTACATTGTGAGAGAAACTCCGGGGCATCAGACAACTAGCAATTAACAGGAAACACTGAAATTTAAAGCGTTGAAGCTTTATGACCGTTAAAACACATCTACACAATATATATGCATATGCAAACATACTAAGTAGCTTTACATCAAACTCTAGTAGGTTCTCTGGCAGCATTTGTCTTACTTTGCCTGGCTGTACATTTCTGTTATTATTGATGGAAATACTATTTCATCCGTTTGCATGTGAAAACAGTGAAATCAGCATTTACCGACAGAAAACTAATCTTTCCAAGCCGAGCTGGCACTAATTAACAACAATTTCATGGAAAATACCCATTTTCTGACCAGTAGGGAAGAGCTAATTAACAATTCCAGGAAAATACCCATTTTCTGACCAGTAGGGAAGAACCAGAACTCGCCCTTAGTGAGGAACGGAATAGATGAAACCCTAAAAGCATTTCCCCACCTCCAATGTATTGCCCTACAGATAGGCTCCAACGCTGGGCCCTTAACCCACCTAGAGCATGAAGGGATCATATTGCATTCATGCTACAGCCATCCCTGGACAGAGGTAGGTTGGGCTAGCGGTTAGCGCACAGACCTGTGCATATTGGTTACTCCGTCAGAGCCGGGGTGAAGAGCCCAGGCTACACTAGGAAAGGGCATTGTAATACCCCAATGGAAGAAAAGAAGTTAACCATTTCCTCTCCTCTGTGGCTGTAAGGCTAGGGAGCAGGCCTGTCCCAGCGGGAAGGACACGGTGTTGGGGGAAACACGCCACGTTGACTTTGCCCTGCCATAATGTGTTAAACCCCTTTGGGTCCTGTCCGTCTTGCGTGTGCCCTGAGGCTGTGGAAGGATAAAATGGGATTGAACTTCCATTTTGGAGGGGTTCTCTCTGGAAAAATATTTTTTAGATAAACCAAACTCATTCCCTACTGGCCCAAAGCAGCCTCAGTTCAGCCCCCCGCTGCTCCTTAATCTGTTTTCTCTTTGCCCCTCCCAGAGAGCGACCGTGGGCCGGAAGGCAAGCAGGGGGAGCAGTTTCTGCCCAAGATGGCTGGGGCCTTGGCCAAAGGCTACTCCCGGAGCACGCTGGACAATGGGGCCCGTTGCTCCATGGCGGAGAACGATGCCAGCAGCCCGGACACGAGCTACAAGGACGAGGAGACTTCGGAGGAAGCCGGGGCAAGCGACACCGAGCGGCGCCGGGGGCCCCAGAGCAAACGGATCAAGCTGGAGTTCCAGGCGGAAAGCCCTCCCCACATGGCCTCGCTCGCCAGCACGGAGGAGTCGGACAGCGGCAGGCCCGTTGCTCCATGGCGGAGAACGATGCCAGCAGCCCGGACACGAGCTACAAGGACGAGGAGACTTCGGAGGAAGCCGGGGCAAGCGACACCGAGCGGCGCCGGGGGCCCCAGAGCAAACGGATCAAGCTGGAGTTCCAGGCGGAAAGCCCTCCCCACATGGCCTCGCTCGCCAGCACGGAGGAGTCGGACAGCGGCAGCGAGACAATATGGCAGCAGGGAGGAACGCGGGGCCGAGCCGGCCCTGCACATCAGAATTTGCCTCCGTCATCCAGACGCAGAGGAGCTACCCACCGAAAGCCGGCGCGGCGCTTAGCATTAAGACGGAGCAGAGCCAGGCTCCCAAGTACGACAAGGCCTCCCCGTGGACCTACCCCTCCGCCCGGGATGCCCACAAGGGAGCCGCCTACACTGTGAGCAAAGCACTTAGCCTGGAGAAGCCCATTCTGAGGCAATCCTCTTCCCACTTGTACGTCTCCATCCCGGACTCAGTGCTCACCCCTCCGGAGATGGACAGCAGTGGGGGCTTGGCTAAGGCCCCCTTCAGCACCTCCCCCCGGGCGGTGCTTCCGGCCCCTTCGGCCGAGACGCTCTCTCCGCCGCTCTCGGGTTCGCCCTGCGAGGAGAGGACCACCTCGACACCCTTTGCCCCCCTGGTCTATCCCGGCGAGATGGAGGCGCTTCAGCGATTCCACGCGGGGAACATGGTCCTCCCACTGGTGCATCAGCTCGGTGGGCACCACGGGCTCGCCAGCACCACGGGCTCCCAGAGCCTCTACACCACCAGCACTATCCGGTACGCCCCTGCCGACGTGACCCTAGCTGTGCCCGGCGGTGTACTGCCCGCCTCCCATGCAATCAACCTCATGGACATCAGCAGCCCGGAGTCCAAGACCTCCATGGAACTCATGTACCATCACATCCAGCGGCTCAACATGGTGACGCCCTTCGGGAACTCGGCCGGCGCCACCGGTCTGGCGCAGCTTTCGGGCGCCGCGGGGGGCGTGTTCACGGCCGCCGAATCCTTGTTCTCCACGCTGCCCTTCTCCATGGCCGGCGGAGGCATCCACAGCCTGTCCGCCTCGGAGCGCAAAGAGGACTGAGCCATGGGGCTGCTCCGGAGGCTCGGTAGAGACGCCACCCCGCGCTGACTCTGCGCTGACGTCCTTGCGCCTTTGAAACTCATCTCCGGGTCTCGCGCCCGCATGAGCTGCCGGCTGCTTCGGCAGGGAAAAGTCTTTATTCTGGACTCAATCCTCGTGTCTCGTTCCCCTCCCCCCAACTAAATCACAGCACAAATCAGTAGAGAAAAACGTGTTCCCCATCAGTATTCTCCGCCTTGCTTCAGAGCTCTCCCCTCCTGGGCCAGATGCTCCTGTTACGCTGGTGTAAATCCAAAGCGGGGCCATGAATTCATCCAGATTCACACCAGAGAATGGAATCGGCACTTCTTAAAATCAGCTGCCCTGTGGGGAAAAGCCGGGGCCACAGCAAGCACTCGTTTCCCCTCCTTGCTGATTTAAATCTTTAATAGCAGGAGGAGCTTCCTTCACCTCTTTGCCCTTTCTCCCATGAATGCATAATGGTGCATGGGAAAAAGGACGCTTTGCGCTCATCGTGTGGCCCGGTCCCCCACTAATTTCCATAGCAATTGCAGCCGGTGGAGGGTCTGGCCCGTGGTACTTTTCCCGCGTCACATTGCTGTATCAATATTAATCAATCCTCACTGAGTGTCATCCGCGTTGTTGCAGCGGGGGGGGCCGGATTCTGTTCCTGTTCTGTTACCCGGGGTAAAATCTGGAGCGGTTCCATGGTAACCGAGAGCAGAAGAGGGTCTGGGGAAGCGAAGACAAAGAGAGAGCAACGCAAATTGGAGCCAGTGGATGCAGCTACCCAGGAAATCTGTGGGGCAAACAGGGCAGGGAGGGCATGAGTAGCAAAGCCAGAGGCTTACCCTGATCGACAGGGAAGGAAAAATGAGGTGGCTGACTAGGCCCGGCCCTAGAGCAAGGCGAGCAAGGCAAAGGCCTGGGGCCCTGTGCTACTGAATATTCACCATCCACCCGCTGGGCCTGGGGCCCCACTCCCAGCATCTTGCGTTGGGCCCCCAAACTCTTTGGTTGGGCCTGTGGCTGACAGTCTCTCCTTAGCTGCTTCAGGGTGTCCGACAAAGCATCCATCCCGCACCGCCTCCATCTTCTACCTCCCGGTGGCTGCTTCTCTTATGCCTCCCGACCCTGTTGGCCTCTTCGACTTGGAAGTTCCAGTCATGTCGAGAGCTACAGAGCACACAGCTATACCCTGGACTCACTGGCCACTTCTGCCTGTTTCCTGACCCGTCAAGCAGTTTGGCCCAGCGATATGTCAGGGCGAGATATGCTCAAGTGCTTTCCCCGGCAGATTATTAGCGAAAGAGAGAGAGAGAGTTTTGCTCTTTGGGAGTGGTTGGCAGAGGGCGGATCCCTTGGTGATGGTAGGGTTGCCAGTGGTTTAACAAAAAATACCGAACATCCCCTTCCTCCCCAAAAAAAGCCACCGGGAAAAAATTATTTTGAGGGGAAAAAAAAGGGGGAGACCAACGTTATTGAGGGAAAAAAAAAAGGCGCTGCGCCTTTAAATGGCCCCATGCTCCTCACTCCCCTGTTCCCGCCAGATGCATCAGGGGAAAATTGTCCCCGCCAGGCTTCCATCCAAGGGAAACAGAAAATACCGGACATTTCACGTGTCTGGTATTTTCTGGTTTTTTTACCTGACGGGAGACCCAAATAACAGACCGTCCGGGTGAAAACCGGATACCAGGCAACCCTAGGAGATGGCCTGTTCTGTTCATTCCCTCTGGGGCACCTGGCCAGTCTTGCCGGTCCATAGCTGGGCCTTCTACGCTTCCCCGCTGCGCCTGAGTACAATTCCTTTTATTCCTCCTTGGGAGGCGAGGAAATTGGCAAGAAAAGAGGCTTCTCCCCCAACTCCACTGGGTGTTTTCCCCCCATTCAAGGATGGATGAATGGAAGCTGGATACAAAGAAAGTTGTTAGCAGGCTGTTCTGGCGGCTCGGTCTCTGCTCGCTGGTGGGGCCTTCCTGTGCTTGTCACCGCCGTTTTCACGGCAGGGCCTTTTCCCTAGGAAGGGCTGAGACCTCTTCCCGGCATGCTGTGGATTCAGCACCTCGTCGTGCGAGGCCTGCACCAAACCCCTCGCTGAAATCCAGCCTGGACAGCCGCAAATCGTATTTGCTTTAAGCTACAGCAAGAGCCTTTGCACTCTCTTGTCTGTGTTGCTTGGAAGATACTCCACCAAAACGTCAATGGTCGTTTGACTGGCGAGCGAGAGAACGGGCAGGGGTGTTTAGGGCACCCTCCCAGGCAGTGCGAGCCCCCCAGGCCAGGCCCCCTGGCTCCAAAAGGTGAACAATTTCCTCCAGGAGAAACTGAGTCTGACATCAGAAGAGCCCATTGGTTAGGCCACAGCGGAAAGGCAGGAGAGCCCTATTCAAATCCTCTCCCATCTCGCAGAGGGGGTTTGAACCAAGATCCTCCATAGCCCAGATGAGCGCGTTGACCCCCGAGTCAAAAGTTAAGAAGTCGGCAGCATCCCTTTCGCATGAATAGGACCCGCCAGCGAACACCCACCTTCCCCAGGCCTGTAGGTCATGCGGGGTCTAGGCACAGAATCCTAGAACAGGAAGGAACCTCAAGCGATCATCAAGGCCAGTCCCTGCCCTCCTGGCAGGACCAAGCGCCGTCTAGGTCAGGCCAATTAGGGTCTGGGGGCAGAGGAGCACGCGACGCCTCCTCCCACCCTGCCAGGAGCATATGGCATTTTGAAGCGCTGTGCACTGCTCTCAGGGCGGGGGGTAGGTGGTGGGGGAGGCTTTGCACACTCCCCCACCCCCAGGCCCTCATTGTCCTGGGACGGGGGAGCATGTGAAGCCTCCTTCTGCCCTGTCAGGAGCACACTGCTTTGAAGTGTCGCATGCTGCTGGCAGGGGAGGGGGGAGAGCGGAGGTGTGCAAAGCCTCTTCCTGCCCTGCCAAGGGCGTGGGTGCTTAGTGGAAGGGGGGGGGGCAAAGGCACTCCCTCAGCCCCAGACCAATCATTATCTGGGGGTGGGGAAACTGGAAATATATTGGCCCCGCCCCTTCCTGTGTGGCCCGGGGCCACTTCAAAAATTTCCAAAATGGCCCACGGCAAAAAAATTATTGCCCACCCCGGTCTAGATCATCCCTGATTAGGGATGTGAATGGGTCACCAGTTACCTGGTCAGCATCACCTTTACTGAGTTAAGCAGCGCCTGGGAGCAGATCCCTGCATGCAGCCCCCCCGTGCAGGGCTGCTGCCACCCACCCCCCTGGTCCCTCTGCATGGGGCAGCAGCCCTGTGGGCTGGGGGCTGTTTCAGCAGGCCTGGAGCTGTTCCCCCCCCCCCTTCCCACTTAATCACTTAACTGGTTAAACCCAAGGGTTAATCTGTTAATTGATTAAACAGGACATTACCTCCTGGGGCCTGACAGATGTTTGTCTTCCTGCTCTTAAATATCTCCAGTGATGGAGGTTCCACAACCTCCCCAGGCAATTTATTCCAGTGTTTAACCACCCTGACAGGCAGGAAGTTTTTCCCAATGTCCAACTTAAACCTCCCTTGCTGCAATTTAAGCCCATTGCTTCTTGTCCTATCAGAGGCCAAGGAGAACAATTTTTTCCCCTCCTCCTTGTGACACCCTTTTAGGTACTTGCAAACCGCTAGCATGTCCCCTCTCTGTCTTCTCTTTTCCAAACTAAACAAGCCCCAATTCTTGCAGTCTGCCTTCATAGCTCATGATTTCGAGGTCTTGAATCATTTTTGCTGCTCTTCTGTGGAACTTCTCCAATTTCTCCACATCCTTCTGAAATGTGATGGCCTGAACTGGACACAATACTCCAATTGAGGCCTGATCAGCCCCCAGAAGAGTGGAAAAATGTTTTGCTGAGTAACGGTTACACGATAAGGATTCCAGAGCTGTCGGCGTAACAGCTCCGCCCACTGAAGTCTAATCACGAGCAAAGGCGTGTCAGGCCCTACTGCTCACATTCCCCCCACCTCGGGGAGCCCACCCGCTAGGGACGAAGGGAACGCTCCATTCCTGGGCTCTGCTCAATCCATGGCTTTTGCCCTGAGATGGCCAAGAGGAGGAACTGCCAAGGGAAACTAAATTATGATCAACTCATGTCCCACTGGGCCCTGCCCACCAGAGAGCATTGTGCATGGTCATGCTGGGTTGGATTTGGACCAGTGACTAGTTTGAAAGTCTTGCATTGTACTATGGCGCCTCTTTCAAACAATCTACCCCCTACCCCACCTCCATGCAAACACAGCCCTTCGACTGAACCATCCCAGCCCTAACAAAAATACGCCCTCAGGTTGGGAACAGAGCCACCTCCCCTCCGTACGCCCAGACAAGCTAGGAGAACAAAAAGGATGCAGAGAGACAATTCCATTGGCTGCCCTTAAAAAGGTAAACTGATGCCATGACTTTTAGCACTTATTAAAAAAAAAGAGATGTGTATAATTGTTTTAAAAAAGGACCCGTCCCACCGCCAAACAGTAGCACTTGTACGCCGTGTTCCTTTTCTGTAGCTTTTGCTAAAGGATCTCTGTGTAGGTTTTTTGTTTTTATTTTTCCATTCCCATTTGTCAGATGAAGGTAACTTCCGTCATTTACTGGTTGGTGTCATTGCTGCGGCTTTCTGCAGTCCAGGATTTCAATGAAAATAAAATAAAATTTTAAAAAAGAGTGAGAGAATCTACTTGTTTCTCAGCTTCTAATATAAAGGGCTCTTACAGAGTTAGCAAGAGACCCGTGCCTGGAGATCTTTCTTCACAAACACCCAAAGCAGTCACACCTGACGCTGATTACAGACTTCTCTTTCCCCTTTTGGTTTAATTAGAAGAAACTGTGAAAGGAATGAAATGCCACGGAACAGCCACAGAACATGCAGGTGAGCAGCATGAACAGCACAGAGGTTATGGGGAAGGAAACTCTTTGGCTGTGTCTAGACTGGCAAGTTTTTCCACAAAAGCAGCTGTTTTTGCGGAAAAACTTGCCAGCTGTCTACACTGGCTGCTTGAATTTCCGCAAGAACACTGACGATCTCATGTAAGAAATCAGTGCTTCTTGCGGAAATACTGTGCTGCTCCCGTTCAGGCAAAAGTCCTTTTGTGCAAAAAGGCCAGGATAGACAGCTCAGATTTGTTTTGCGCAAAAAAGCCCCGATCGTGAAAATGGCGATCGGGGCTTTTTTGCGCAAAAGCGCGTCTAGATTGGCCACGGACGCTTTTCCGCAAAAAATGCTTTTGCGGAAAAGCGTCCGTGCCAATCTAGATGCTCTTTTCCGCAAATGCTTTTAACGGAAAACTTTTCCGTTAAAAGCATTTGTGGAAAATCATGCCAGTCTAGACGTAGCCTTTGTGAACAATCTGAGATTTGACTGTCAAAGGAGTTGGGCAGCCGCAATCGGGTGCCAGTTTCAATGGGAGTTGTGGGTGCATGACACTTCTGACAAATAGCCATTTGACTGGAAACATGCCTTAAATTGGGAAAGGGGGATCAGTTTCATACCAGGGAATTCATATACGGGCTCCTCCCTCTATAGCCGAGGCCCAGAAGTTATGTCAACCAGTAGCACAGTTCTGTGAAGAAGCACCCGCTGTATTTCTAATGACGACGGGAACAGAGAGCTATTTGCTAACAGTTTTAAAGGAGAATGAGATTTTCACGATGGCAAAGTTCACTTGATCAGACTTTCCAAAGAATACCTGACAAGGCTCATTCAGACTGACAGGAACTGGGCAGAGGAATGGTCCAGCCTTTAACCTCTCTAATGGGAAATGCAGCTGGACAGTGTCTAGAACGAGGACATCCGGAGCCAGAGCCCTGGAGTCAGGGAGCAGCAGCGGATTTCACATTTCAACAGCTCTTCTGAGTTCTAAAGCGAGTTGCAGAGTCATCGAAATGGAAGGAACCTGGAGAGGTCAAATCCAGGCCCAGATACTCACAGCAGGACCAAGCACCATCTAAAACATCCTTGATGGAGTTTCCACAACTTCCATCTTCCACTGGATGGAGGATCCAGTGATGGAGATTCTACAACTTCCCTAGGCAATTTATTCTGGTCTTTAACCACCCTGACAGGTAGGAAGTTTTTCCTAATGTCCAACCTAAACCTCCCTGGCTGCAGTTTAAGCCCATCGCTTGTTTCCTTTCATCAGAAGTTAAGGAGAATAATTTTTTCCTCCTTTTCGGCATTTGAAAGCTGTCATGTCTCTTTTCAATCTTTCCTCATGGGTCATGTTTTCTAAACCATCAGTCATCTGTGTTGCTCTTCTCTGGACCTTCTCCAATTTCTCCACACCTTTCCTGAAATGTGGTGCCCAGAACTGCACATAGTACTCCAGTTCAGGACTAATCAGCGCAGAGTAGAGCAGAAGAATGACTCCTCGTGTCTTGCTCACAACACTCTCATTAATACATCCCAGAATGATGTTTGCTTTTTTTTGCAACAGTGTCACATTGACAATTCATA